GCTTGTTTTAGTGCAATAAACAAAGCTTTAAGCGATTCATTAGATAATTATGAAAGAGCACCCTCAATAATACAGCAGAGAATGTTACAAATAAAAAGCAAGCAAATCAAGAATTGTATAAAAATAGTAAGGATAAAAAATATCATGAATTGGGTAACACATATTATAAATAGGTTCTCAAACTTAATAATAGAAGTTATGTAAAAAATTCAATTTAAACTTTCTTAGTTACTGGAGATAATACATATTAATGCCTATGAAGGATTTCATCTAATAGTTATTAAATTCTTCTTTCTTCTAGAAAATTGATTTTTATGATTTAGCTTCTGCTTCATACTAATCAACTACAAGTTATCGGCTTAATTATGTCAACAAATGTAGAAGAAAGTTTAATTAATAAATAGAATGATTCCAACCAGTAGCAAATTAAACTATATTTCTCCAGATAATTCTCTAGCTATATAATTTATTTTATTTTTTAAGCTTTAAAACCTAATTAGCCAAAGTTAACAATAACTATTCATAAAAATTCCTTTATTGAAGAGTATTAGACCAAAATTTCTTCCTAAACTAATTTTTTTAATGGGTGATTCGATATCAGAATTTTATAAAAAAGACTTATTTATCTTTTGCATAAAAATGATAAATAATAATGTGCTTTTGATTGAAATTTATTTTTTCTTTTCCTACTAATAAAATAAATATCACAAATTCTCTTTAAAAAGTTTCTCTAATGATTCCAGAACCCTAAAATCATAATTCACCTTCTTTATAAAAGCCATTTTATGATAACCACCAATTCATTAATACTATGTTTAAAAATTTATGTTATTTTAGCATTTATTACCAAATTAACCTCTCTATGTTAGATAAGTTAATTAATTTATTTTTTCCAAGCCAAGTTCATCTAAATAATTGTTTAAATTTGAATTGCAAACATTGTAACGCAGAACACCAAAATATTTAGATGGTCTTATTATGTTTACCATTTATAAATGGTTAACACATGATCTTATCATATTTAATGTATGTTTTATTTTAATTTGACCATATTGTAATATTTTCTCTTTTATATTTTTTTATCTTTTAAGATGTAAATTACCATTAAGATTGCTAAGATATATTTATAAGCCATTATTATCAGTTATTTTTAGAAAAAAATTCAAAAGTATAGTATACAAACGGTATTCAATCCAATATAGATACTATTAAGCACATACATCAAAATAAATTGTTTATATCAAAATTATATTATGTTGATGAAATATTGAATGACATCAAATAAAAAAGATTGTAGCATGCATCTTTCTGTTTTTGCAAATTTTATGAGAATTGGAAAGGAATATTTTATTCAGCAAGATAATTTTAAACCATATTTTTAAATTAATTTCCATAAGTCCTATAAATAAAATTTTCTTTAAAATTATTAATACAATAAGTTTGCTTCAGAAAAAATCCAAAACTTAATGTCCATTTTCAAATTATGTTATTATGAGCTAAAGCATTCAATTGAATACCTGAAAAGTAGCAATATTTTTTGAAGTGCAGCAAATAGACAGTTAGAATTATTATAAAAATAATACTGCAGTTCTCTTATTATTTTTCAATTTCCATCATAAGAATCTCCATCCCTTTATGCAATTGACCATTCAAATAATCAAATATTATTACTTTATCATTCTTTTAATAGAATTACAAATGAAGAAAAATATATGTATATAAAGTTCATTATTACATTTTTCTATAAATATTATAATTAATTTGAATAAGGGGTAAATTATAATATAATAAGCAATATTAGAATGTTGAAAATTAACTGATTCTATTTTATATTTAATTGGTTCCTTCTTAATAAAACATTATGTTAGCTTTTTCAAATATTTGATTTTAAACTTTTAATTAATTATAATAATTAAATAAAAAGTGATGTTAATTAGCAGTTATCTAGATATGATTTTCAATAAAATGGTGTAAAAGTTGGAAAGTGAGAGGCAAACTGGAGGTCAAAAAATATGTTTTAATATTTATAAATTAATATTGTAAATATAAATAATAGATTTCCTTTTGAATATTTTTCTCTTTTTATTATTTTGCTAAATACTCAAAAATTTACTGTCAAAATAGTAAAAAACAATTTATTCATTTTATAAATATCTAGTATTTATGTAAGAATTTTGTCTATTTTGAATTTTTACAATATTTGGGTCACTTGGATATAAATTTTTAAATAATACAATTTCCTTACGGAAATAATAAAGCTTTCTTTTATATTGGTAGTATGATTATATATTTTTCGGTGATCCTCAATTCGTAATAAAAAGACATGAGTTCAATGATTTATTTCAAGAGTAATTAAATAATTATTTAAGATCTAATTAATTCATTTATTCAGGTAATTAACTGAATGGAATTAAGGTACGCAGATGGCAAACTTATTGGAAAAAACTCAGAAATATCCATTTATTTCTGATATAGTGGTGAGGGATAATAGTATGAAAATTTAGAAACTTATTTTAATGTTTAAATGAAATAAGAAATATTGATTGAGTTGGGTGATGGATTCAGAGTGCATATTAATTTTTTTCTTCTTTTTGATAGATCAAGTTAAATCACTTTGAAAGGGAATATCAGAATAATAAAAATATTAGGCAATGGAAAATAAGGTTTGAATAGAATGATATGAAAAAATTAATAAGTGGTGGAGGATTATATGATGATAAAAGAATGATCATGTCAAACAGTCTATCTTAAACATTCATCTTAATTTATTAAACTATAACTTATCACAAATTATACTCTAAAATTTTTAAATACGTTAACTTCTAAAGATATACCTAAATATTAGACTATTTAAAACCCATATCCAATAATTTTGAAAATAAAGGGTTTATATAATTAAAATTTAATTGTATATATTTTAATGTTCTTAATTTTGCAAAGTTGTAATAAATTTATGGTAAAATAATTGTATTTATTTTTAGACATATGTTCTCAATTGAAAAAATTTAATGGTAATCCTTTTTTTATAAATTAAATAACATTGATTTATGGACATGCTTGGTTGTAAATAAAATAGTTATCAATTATACTAATATTCTTAATAATTTAGAACTAATTTTTTGATCCAATATTTTCGCCTTGTTGCATCCGCTTTTCTTCCTCTAAATTATGTTATTGTTTGTATTCTAGATTAAGAGAATAATCCTTTTTTGGATTTTAAAACGATTTAAATTAGTTAAATTACATTTGTAATTGTTAATCAACTACATCTTCAAATTAATATTTTTAAAAAGAACAAAAATATGTTAATATTTCAAATTAGAAATAGACATCTAAATGGATTTTGATGATATCATTATTTTAATATATAACACCATAAGGATCTGTTTAAGGAGGAGCTTTAAGCAAAAATTTATACATCTTAAACTCTCTTACAATATTTAACCCTACTTATTATATAATTCAATAATACAATTTGAGTCATTATTTCAGCTTGTTTTTAAGGTTTTTCGCTTGAAAAAATCATTCATTTTATAAATATGTTTATTAG